CACTAGCTGTGTATTCTGTAAACTACTAAAAGAAATTAGTGTGGAGACAATGATTTGCAGCTACCAGTACACTTCATCCAGCTAATGGATTTATTAGAGGTGTGAAGTGAGCCTATGAGAGCTGACTTGGGACCTTGGGCAAAGAAGTAGAATACTATTTCATAGCCTAATAGATGTTGTGTAAGTAAGAAGGCTAGTAGGGGACATGAGGGGCAAACCAGGAAAAATAGAGCAACTGCAACTAAGTTGATGTGGAAGTGGTAAATGTACTTGAATGTAGTAAAGTCATGTGTAGAGTTGAGCGGACACCTGGATGTTCGGGTTCACCGGTTTCGGCTGAACTTCGGCAAAAAGTTCGAGTTCGGGACTCGAACTTGACCCGAACTTGACACCGAACCCCATTGAAGTCATTGGGGACCCGAACTTTTGGGCACTAAAATGACTCTAAAAAAGTCCTGGAAAGGGCTAGAGGGCTGCAAAAGGAAGTAAAACGTATTGCCTAAGTACTAATATACTTACCCAGTGGAAGAAGAAGAAAGTTACACTGTATACAATTTTAAAGAAAAAGTATACAAATATAGCCAGGTTTCAACTGTGAGCATTTGCAACACAATCAAGTAACACACATTCATATAAAATGTAAGTTACTTGGCCAGTCAATATAATGACAGGAATGAATAAGCAGATAAGATAACTCCCTAATTCCCACGGTATTAGAGAGCTATCTACTAAAAGGCTGAAAGACCTGAATAAAGATGACTTAGTATTAGTAAATTATGCCCCTACTCGCTATACCGCAATTAGGGGCATGTCTATTAAACAGTGAGTAGCCTATGGCTGCTCACTGTTAAAAAAAAAAAAAAAAGGGTTCCCCCCTCCTGAGCCCCCTCATTTTTTTGTTGTTGTTTTTTTTTTTTTTAAGTGCGTCGGTTATTATGGATTTTTATTTGCCCTTTTTTGGGGCTGAAAAAATAAGATTTTAGAAGAAAGAAAACATCAAATGGTAAGTTTTATTTTATTTTTTCAGGGTGTGAGGGGGGTGTGACGGTAGTAACTGGTATCACCGTCTAGTATTCCTTTTCCCAATAGCAGAGTATCGCCTAAAATCCACAGGAACAAATATCGCTGGTATCGCCAAATAATCCACACATGAGCCAAAGCTTAATGCTGGAACAAGACTGATATACTGGAAGCAACGGGCATTCAATTTATACAGTACAAGCTCCTCCTCTGGGCCATGCTAGATAATTGAGTTCCAGCAACATACTAAACTCAATTATATGCTGGCCAGAAATATTAACAATTTTCAACATTTTTAGAAATATACTTTTTTCATGATATAACAATATAAAAATCACACATCACTGGGTAGCTGAGGATACTAGGAGTAACATATCCAAATTGCACGAAAATCCATTCAGTAGTTTCTGTGTCGTATCGTGTGGAAGTTTGACCGGCCCGCCATGCGGTTGCATCCTATTTAGAGTTCCATGAAATTGGTAGTAAGAGCCAGTCTCCGTTCGTGAAGAATTATATGAAATCCACTATAGGTAGAATGCCGCTGGTTATATGAGAATGCTCCCCTTGTTCGGTTGATTGAAACTCCCGAACGTCGGTCTTGTACTGTAAGGAGAAATAGGTCAGACGGGACTTCCATGAAGACCGGGTGTTTTCCTGCGAGTACCATGCCGAAAACAGTTCCAGGCACTCGACGACCAGGTCCTGCTGGCTTCGTTCGGGAGTTTAAGATGGCTGGCATCCTTTGTTCTCGCCACGTGTTCGTATGCAGAATGGCGGCCACCTAGGAGCACTCAATTATCTTGTGGTTTCGTGTTGCAACATTGTGTTCTACTTTCCAATTGCTACCCAGGGTGGTCTCTGTCCGGTAGAACGAATAATCTAACGAACACATACAGAAAAACGAATGCTGCCAAGTCATTTAGGTAGCAGGGAGAGGAAATAGTTAAATGAAGACAGAGAATACAGGGAAATTCTTCACAGGGGGTAGGTAGGAGTTAATTTTTTTGGGGGGGTAACTAGGGGTAGTCACCTGGTTGGGGGGTTACATTTTTATTTAGGGCCCCCACTCACTGCTCAGGGGTGGGGCCAGGGGGGAGGACATTAGGTCCCCCCCTAATTGGTATTTAGGGCCCCCACCCACCATTCAGGGGTGGGGGCCAGGGGAGAGGTCATTAGGACCCCCCAACTGTTACTGAAATGTCCGGGCTCTTGTTCGGGGTCAAAAAATTTTAATGTTTGGTACGAACCCGAACTTTACAGTTTCGGTTTGCTCAACTCTAGTCATGTGGTAAGTCTTCTATACATTAGACTTGTGCAATTAGTTTCAGAACGAATCGAAATTTAGCCCATTCAAAGATTTGGAAGAATCCAGTTTCTGAATTGCCCCACTGAAAATGAAATTAAAACAAATGGAGGCATAATCAATTGCATAGACTTATTTCAGATGCAATCATTTTAATAATAACAAGGGCTTTTCTTAATTTTGATCATTCAGCTGTATAGTAGATAGCTCTCTAATTTGCTATCCTTATGTAAGATTGTTTAAAGTTAAGGATACTAAATTAAGGAGCAATCAACTAAACAACTAAAAAAGAAAAACTAAGAAAATGGCTTTTCTTAATTTTAATCTTTCAGCAGTTTAGCAGATAGCTCCCTAAACTGGTACACTAATATGCCCTTGCCATATTAAAGGATACCAAATTAGGGTGCTGTTTATCATATAGCTCCCTTATTTGGCATCCTTTAATATTGCTATCCCACATCAATATAAAAAATTACAGCTTTACCTACTAAACAACGGAAAGTTAAAAAATAAGAAAATTCATTTTCTTAATTTTGATCTTTAGCAGTTTAGCAGGTTCAGTTAATTGCATTGTATTGGTGTTCCATTTCTAGATTGAAAATAATTTGTGATTTATTATGTAAATGTATGCATATTTTGTATTTACGTTTACTTATAATACCATGCTAGGTTCTAATTATTAATA